CCCCCCCCCCTCCTCTCCTCCCATACCCAACCCCTTCCATCTTAAACTACCACAGGCTTTTCCTTACACCTAGGCGAGCAATCGCTTTACCCCCCCCCACCCTTGAGTCACCGTTCCGCTGGGTTCACACCTATTGTTGTATACATCTCCTCAAGAAAACCCACAAACAGATTAGCAAAAGATGGTGCAGCTGAACTGCCCATCGCAGTTCCCTTAGTCTGTAGGAACATCTGATGTTCAAACAAAAAGAAGTTATTTTCAAGAATGTACCGTAGACATACTAAGATAAACTCTATAGGCATAACATCATACTTAGCGGACGAAATGTCCATGGTTGCCAAGTGCCAGTCTTCCTGTAAAGCACTAAACTGCTGAATTTTACAAAGGAAGTCATTGGTGTCTTTGGTGTATGCTGGCAATGCTTTGACAAGGGGCTGTAGTATGTTGTCCAACATTTTGGCCATTGTTTGCGTGACCGAACCTGTGCCCGAAACAATAGGGCGATATTGTAGTGGATTAAAACCTTTATGGATTTTCGGCAGACCATAAATCACTGGTACTCGAGGGTTTTCATCAATCAAATACCCTGCTAATTTCTCATCAATCCATCCATTAGTAATGCCTATGTTGACCAAGCTTTTAAGTTCGTGTACAGACTTGTACGCAATATCCTTTTTGACAACCTTGTATCTGGTATTATCACTCAATAAAAGTAACATACCTTGTTTGTAGTTAGTATAGTCCATGATCACAATCGCTCCCCCTTTGTCAGCTGGCTTGATGATGATTGATGCATCCTGCTTGAGCTCCTTAAGGGCAACGAACTCCTCCCTTTTAAGGTTTGTGCATGTTCTGCCTTTGGAGGCGGAGGTCAGGACATCATGTTTTAGGGTCCTGGTATAGCTATCAATTGAGTGAAAGTTGCCGGGTGGCATAAATTTGCTCTTGGTCCTGAGCAGGGGTATGCAGTTGGATTTGTTGTTGGTGGGCGTCCTAGAGAAGTGTTGTTTGATCTTGAGTGATCTTTCGTATTGGAAAATTTCCACCTCAAACCCAAAAGGGTCGAATTTATCGGTTGGAGAAAATGAGAGACCTTTGGAGAGAAGACTGTGTTCACCACTTGAGATAGTTCTAGATGAGAGATTGATTGCCGGGCTGTCCATGACAGGTCACACAGCGGAGGAGGATTTCCCTGCTTTGTAACCTGAGAGAAGCCGATCTGAATGGAGGAAAAGCTGTCAGCTGCAAACATGAAGCTGACAGCTTTTTCCTCCATAATTCTAGGTGAGGCTCCGCCCCCACCTGCCTCCCCTGACCGCGCATCCCTGATATATATACACCGGCCTATAGCTGATTCTCTGTTCATTCTGTCTGAGTCTCTCTGGCTTTGCCACCGTTCTGCTGTCAGTCTGCTGAGCTGCTCTTATGTATCACTGAAGTGAGTTTAATAATCAGCTTTGTATTGATGGGAAACTTTTACACCAATTTGTGCATCAAAATAACAGACCCCGGGGGCCGCATCCATGAGACTCCTACGCCTGCCGGTGAGGTTGGTGCGTGACCTCGCTGTGCCGATGCACTAAAAACTGATTTAGTCATTGTAACCTGTACAATGAGATTCACTGACATCCCGCCAAATGCCAAAAGAAGATCACTGAATCTCAAACTCCCTGCTCCTATCAGGAGGAGTATTCACTAAGAAATGACAGCTTAAAGAGACCCTGTCATCACTTTAACAACTTCCAAGTAAAAGCAAGCAAGAACCAAGTGTTGTGAATGTGTATTCCCCGTGTTCCATTCCATTCTTTCTTCAGTTTCTTTGCTTGCAATAGTCCAGCAAGATAATTTTGCTTCTTCTATTGTTTGGCCAAAAGTAAGTGAATCCTCACCGATATCTGCCTCCTGTTCTTTCATGTTTGGTGACCCCTGCAATTCTCTGCGCTGGCTTACTTTGTAGATTGGTCTGCAGCCTCCACCTCACGTTGTATTGTTCTGTGAAGCCAGCACACGTCCGGGGCTCCTTGTTAGTCCCGCGCTTTCACTCCTAGCATTCAGTTCCTTGTACTGATCTCCTTTGATCACGGTGTTGTGCTTTGTCGGTGTATCATGCTCCAACTGCACCTATCGTGTAGGGATGCACCGATACCAATACTAGTATCGGTATCGGTGCCGATACCGAGTATTTGGGTGAGTACTCGTACTCGCCCAAATGCTCCGATACCTAGCACAAGTACTTCCTGTATCAGGAAGCCGGGCAGCGCGTCATTACATCCGGTTTCCTGATTGGCCGGGAAACGGCTCCATGCTCTCTCGTCACTTGTGATGAGAGAGCATGGACCCAACTTCCCGGCCAATCAGGAAGCCGGGTAGCGTGTAATGACGCAGCGCCCGGCGTTCTGATTGGCCGGGAAGCCGGCGTCAGGCTCCCTCGTCATCTCATGAATCATAATATTAAGAAAGTGACCTCAAAGCATTAGTTTGTATTGCTTTAGAAAAAAATGTGACCTGTCCCTTTAAGAAAAAGTATCGGTCATTGGTATCTGCGAGTACTTGATCAAAAGTATCGGTACTCGGTCTTAAAAAAGTGGTATCAGTGCATCCCTATCGTGTATCGGTGTATCATAACGCACAGGGGTAGAGGTACTCTTAAAAACTAGACCACACCGGGACTCGTGTACACACACTCACACATGCACAATCGCACACAGACACACAAAGGGTGAACTCGATGGACCTGCGTCTTTATTTAACCTCAAATACTGTGTAATACTATGTAACAATGCTCCAACTGCACCTATCATGTATCTAAATATATTATACTCATATACATATGTATTTACACATATTTCTCAGTAGCTGAAAAGGATATAAAACCACATGTATGCATCAAATTACTTTACATACAGACAGGGCGACCAAACTCATCAAGGGGATGGAGGACCAGAGCTACGAGACACGGCTACTAAATTTAAACATGTTTACATTGGAAGTAAGGAGATTAAGGGGGGACATGATTCTCATGTACAAAATGTTCTATAGTCATAGCAACATTAGCAACAAACTCTTTAAGATTAATTCCGTAACAAGGACTAGAGGCCACCACCTGAAACTGGTAGAAAAAAAATTCAAACACAAGGGGCGGAGGGGGTTCTTCTCAGTTCGCGCGGTTAGGGTCTGGAACTCGTTGCCTCAAGCAGTAATTTCCGCAATTAATCTGGAATCATTCAAGAAGCTTTTGGACGACTTCCTGAGAGACCGAAATGTACAAGGGGTACAGGTACTCCTAAGAATGAGAACACTCATGGACCTATACACACACACACGCACAACAGGTTGGACTTGATGGACTTATGTCTTTATTCAACTTCAAATACTATGTAAGATATTACCTCATTAAAGCATAGCTCCCGACCATCCCTCATTTGGAGGGACTGTCCACCCTTCTTTGGAAAAATCAGATTTTGAAGAATCAAAGTTTATTCATATTCCATAAATCCTGATATGATGCCACTCCATTCATAATAAATGTCTACCCAGATATATACGAGAGTAACAATCAAGTAGGTATCTAACGTGCCTATACTACTATATTCATATATATATGCTACATCTTTACCTTTGTTTTTAGTTGGAGGATATAAAAATATATACTGTATATTGTTTTTAGCTGTTTGACATTTACCTGAGCCCCCCCTCCCCCCTGTTAGGCTCCACCCCTTTTTGTTGGCATAAATTGTGGCTGCGATTATTAGAAGGGATAGTAATAATATTCTCACTTGTGTCTGTGTGTTAACTTTCAGGTGTGCCTGCTGTATTTGTTACAATCTGGGCCCGGGAAAGAGCCACATTTGCAGATACAGAGTGAGTACAACGTTATCCCTTAGATAAAGAGAACCTGTCACCCGACATAGCAGAGGTAGCCATGTTCTGAGAAAGAGAAACATTAAATATTTGGGATGGAAAAGAGCCGGAGAGATGGAAATTCTGGATTTTTTTTTTTCCTGGAAAAGAAAGCGATCATTGAGCTGGAGCTACAATAATATAATATCGTATTAAACACGCACATTGGACACAATGAATGTTATTCTTTTTATTTAATGACAAATGCAAGTTAGGTTTTTATAGTGTAAACATGCAAATTAGTAATATTTGTCACATTCATAATAAATATCCTCCGGCAAAATCAATGAAATATAAAAAATTATGGATGCACCGATACCGATACTAATATCGGTATTGGTGCCGATGCCGAGTATTTGGCCCAGTACTCGTACTCGGCCAAATGCTCCGATGCCTAGCCTGATACTTGAGCTTCCGGTATCAGGAAGCCGGTCAGTGAGTCATTACACCCTGCCCGGCTTCCTGATTGGCCGGGAAGCCGGCTCCATGTTCCCTCGTCACTTTTGACAAGGGAGCATGGAGCCGGCCAATCAGGAAGCCGGGCA